CTTGAATTGTGATTGGCATATGCCCTGCAGCCTTCCCCCAGTTTCGAGTGTGGTCGTAATATTGTTACTAAATTAGAATTGTTAGAGGTTTCTCTGTTCAAAATTATTTATTCGGATATCACTCTTTTTCTTTCTTTATTTTAAATACAAAAATAAAATATAAAATAACAATGACATAAATATACAAAAAAAGGAGATTAAAAAACAAAAATTGCCTGTTTAGACAAGGAATGGATGCATGAATGACCTAAAAAGTTCAATACATTAATTTAATGAATAAATTAGGAATTTTATTTCTATATTTTCATCATTATTATACTACAGATGCCATCATTGTATAGTAAAGCCTCATGGGCTTTTTAAGAACCTTTTGTTAAAAATAATAAAATGAATTGTTTAATCACTTAATGTTTTGTATCGTTCTTATTGGGTGATTATTATTGCTTAGCTGATAAGTAGGAGCCCACTTAAAAAACTAGTAAAAAACAATAAAATAGAATTTTAGAAAGTAAATTACATTTGAAAAAAAAAACAGGACAGATATACGTAAATAAATAACAGATAAATGTACATTATGAATTCGGAGCATTATTCATAAGGAGAAAGTAATATAAAATAAAAAATTATCAAGAGGAATTTATTGAACACATATTTCATATTTTGATTTGATTATGTTCAGTTTCGCGTGGATTCTGTTTGGAGAGTCACTTGACAGTTTTCCTCTTCAACTTTTTGACAATCCTTGGATAGCAGGTTTCCACTTTCTTTGTATTTATGTTCATCCCAAAATTTGAATTTGAATGGCTTAGAATCAAATTTTGAATTTAGCAAGAGTGAATGTATCTAAAGGAATATCATATTAACTATTAACTATATATTAACTATTTAAGAAGTTAAAATAATTGTTTTCTGGTTACTAATTTTTAACTTACGGAGAGCCACTTGACAGTTTGTTTTTTTTTTTAACTTTTTGGCTATCTAAGGAAGGCAGTGTCATGTACTTTTTTTCTTGTTGTTACTTTTTCTAAAATAAATTTGCAATTTGAATCTTGTGGGAGTGCTGTTGAGTTGGATGTAATGAGACAGCCTAGATAAAATTACACTCATTACGAGACAATCATAGGGTGTGAAAATGCAGAGATGAACAATTGTCATTATCATCATTGCCATTGCCCTGGTCATCCATATTATCCTTATCAATGATAATTAGTTTTCTAAGAATACAATGATTATTCTAAACTGTTTGTTAAATGTCATCACCACCATCAACATTAATAACAGAAAAAAAATCTATGGTTAAGTAAAAAAAAATTCAAAAAAAGTATATGACTAAAATATCCTCCGAATTTTACCTTTGCAACTCCACCTTCTTCGCTTTTTTCCTCAAACCTTCTTTCATCATAACTTAGGGACACTGACAGTGGAACATGTAAATCTGAAAGATGTTCATAACTAGACTATAACAATGATTATTAAACATTGTGTTGAGTGAAAAAGTTTTAATTTCTTTCAGTGTAGTGAAACAGTAACAAGAAATTTAAGCTTTTAAAACTAAAAAGTTAAAAGATGTTTGCTATTTTTTTTTGGGCCTTTACGGACTTTATAAATCTTGTAATTTTGTATTTCATCGTTTTTAATTGTTCAATGTATTCCATTCACATAAAAGCAGGATTTATTTTATAAAATAAATGAAATAAAAAGTATTTTTTTTCTTGATTTAGGAAAAGAAACAGAATGTGTAAGAAAACACAATCAAATAAACCCTTAAAATGTAAAAAATGCAGGAACGAATGGGAGAATGTTTGATCTGTACCCCACTGGGTAGCAGGGCTCGAAGAAGCTTTCAGCCAATGCTTCCTGCGTCTACGACCGTCGGCTGACAAATCAAACTCTGCTCCCTGTAACAACCCGACGCTGTCTGCTAAGTGTCGGTGGAAGTCTGAACGGATTGTCATTAAAAACGATCCGTTGCACGTACGTCGTGGTGTTGCGTTCATCTTAAATCGGAAGGGTCCTGTTCTAACTTTGGTTAACATTGTACTTCCATTAGGTTAAGGTACATTTTATGTTGAATTCCTGGAGCAGTGTTTGTAGTGGATGAAATTAGTCATATAATTATTAATATTACTGTACAGTAGTTACATTTCATTTTAGCAATAGTTTTTAGTAAAAAATATTCACCATAAAATGCACTGATGCCATGCTAATTAAGTAGCCATACTGTACTTACATATCTGTAATTAGCATCCAATAAAACCTTTTATCCACCTTTCCACAACCATCGATTGGAAGGAGCAGTTATCTTCCACTCAATTAATAATTACCATATTAGAATCTGTCTCTTATACACATCTAGATGTGTATAAGAGACAGACTGTCGGCTGACAAATCAAATTTCTTTCAGTGTAGTGATACAGTAACAAGAAAGTTAAGCTTTTAAAACTAAAAAGTTAAAAGCTGTTTGCTGTTTTTTTTGGGCCTTTACTGACTTTATAAATCTTGTAATTTTGTATTTCATCGTTTTTAATTGTTCAATGTATTCCATTCTCATAAAAGCAGGATTTATTTTATAAAATAAATAAAATAAAGTTTTTTTTTTTCTTGATTTAGGAAAAGAAGCAGAATGTGTAAGAAAACACAATCAAATAAACCGTTAAAATGTAAAAAATGCGGGTAAACGAATGGGAGAATGTTTGATCTGTACCCCACTGGGTAGCATGGCTCGAAGAAGCCTTCAGCCAGATGCTTCCTGCGTCATTCGACTGTCGGCTGACAAATCAAACTCCGCTCCCTGTAACAACCCGACGCTGTCTGCTAAGTGTCGGTGGAAGTTTGAACGGATTGTCATTAAAAATGATCCGTTGCACGTACGTCGTGGTGTTGCGTTCATCTTAAATCGGAAGGGTCCTGTTCTAACTTTGGTTAACATTGTACTTCCATTAGGTTAAGGTACATTTTATGTTGAATTCCTGGAGCAGTGTTTGTAGTGGATGAAATTAGTCATATAATTATTAATATTACTGTACAGTAGTTACATTTCATTTTAGCAATAGTTTTTAGTAAAAAATATTCACCATAAAATGCACTGATGCCATGCTAATTAAGTAGCCATACTGTACTTACATATCTGTAATTAGCATCCAATAAAACCTTTTATCCACCTTTCCACAACCATCGATTGGAAGGAGCAGTTATCTTCCACTCTACAAAGATAAAGTGCAGTTGCATTGTGTACAGATCCTGTTGGTGAACACGAGCCATTTCCAGAAACTATAACAACAAAAAAAGAACCTATCACTGAAATGTAAACACTCTAACACTGGTAATGATTGGCTATAAGTGCGCAAAAAACTAACAACTAACAAAAGTGTATGTGTAAGTGATAGCAGCTGGGGTATTGGTTTCGCCTGCAGAAATATTTACACAAGTACTTGGGGTAAGCAAGAGGACCTCAACAGCTTAGCACTCTCTAAGGCAGGATAAGACTTTTGAGTAAACAAAGCACTGTAGGCGAAATGGTGTTGACATTATTATATTGTAGTTATGCCACTTGTTGAGTGCAATTTAAAAGGTGACTTAATGCTATGCATGAGCCAATGAGATATTATCAAAAGCTGCAGTTATGAAAGATGATGATATAATCAACCAGTTATTATGCATTAGCATTCATTCAAACATTTTTAGATGTAGACCAGAGGTGGCTCAATGAATTTGCAACCAAAGGGGTCATACAAGAGGGTTTGAACCCTTAATAGGGGTTAGGTTCTATAATTTTTTTTTTATGTATGTTCACTACTTCGCAGATGATAAATAAATATATATGAATTTTATTAGATGAAAGCTGACGATACAATTTAGGCTAAAACCAGACTGTTGGTAAGGCCTGCACGGGGAATATATCCTCCCTGCAAAAAAATTGGCCTAGAAATCGGTCTGAGCATTTCGGAAAATAAGGACCCATTTCCGCAGATTTTGTTGAAAATTAGGCTTTGAACGAATGCAATTATACAGCAATTACGATTCCGCGCACCCATTTTCCTAGTGATTTTCCACTCAAATTGTTAAATATTTTCCATGCCAATGAAAAAACTTTATACAGTATGGGCTGAACTAAGGGCACATAGATTTTTTGAAGTGATGGAGGTGGGTGGTTTTTAAAAAATATTTTAATTGGAACAATAGTATATTGCTTTTTTTTATCGATGAGGGAGCGACTGTTTATATTTGGCAAGAATATTATATTGTTTTTTTAAATAAAATGTATTTCCAGTCAGAAAATTACATTGTCTTTTTTATGCAGTTGAAATAAATGATGTGACAAAAAAAAAAAAAATTGTTTTATCCTCGCATCAATACTTCCCAAATTTTTGATGCAGTCGGTATAAATGATTAAATCTAACAATTTTTTCTGTTTTCATTAAATCCCCAGACCCAGTATTACACATTAAAAAAATTCACTGAAGAGAAATTCGCTATCGCCCATTGTTTGCCAGGCCAGCCATGGTACATTTATGCAAGGACAGAGTTCGAGGCTAGGCCTTAAAGTAGTAGGTCTCGGGCCTACGGCCTAGGCCTAGTTAGTGTGACCTGGTCTTGTCAGGCCACTGCCTAGAGAGGGCCCATGCCCATGGGCCTGGGCTAGGCTAACGAAGGGCTAAGGTAACTAACGACCAAGTGGCAAGAGCTTATTACCAAAACCGAGTCTCATTCGTCCTACGGGTAGAGAGCTGCTTTTACATTACGAAAAAAAAGCACCTCCTGTTATTTAAGGAGGATATAAACAAACTTAACTTCGACCTCAAAATCTCTGTCTCTCAGCTTTACAAATCAAAGTTTTGTATTAGCAGTCAATCCTGAGGGCGCACTCCATTTATTATGCAATAGCAATCTAGTTGGTGTAAAAATAGGCTCAACCAACCGTGTCATCGAATATTAATGATACGTCGCCCTCTATTTTACAGAACTGACGCCTTCATTCGTGACCTAATTTTTTGTTTATTTATATTCGGACATGTGTGTGTGAGCAGACATTTTACGATTTATCAGGGAAACCGTGAGAACGGTTTATAATGGCTCCTAATAATTTGCCTGCGAAAGAGGTTTTAAAAGACGAATTTTCTATTTATCCAGGAAAATCCACGCCTTGTGATGTTTACCTTTATCAAAACTGTATAGAATATTGCAGAAGAACGGGACAGAACAGTAATCTTAACAAAAAAGTATCAATTGAATTTGTGGATGTTATTGGGTGTCATTGTTTTGAAGATCGGGATTTTATTTTGAACAAGAAACGACCAAAAAACGAAGACATTTCTACCGCTTTCTTTTGTTTATATCACTATCCTCGATGTAATGATGTACGTCAAAAACAGGTGGTTGTCTTCAGGGTTAATAAGCATGAAACATTTGAGGAAAATCTAACCATTGCCAAAAAGTGGCGAACAGCAATTTTACACATTCTACGTGGTGCGACATTACTTGGCGACGAAGGTAGGCCTAATAAGAGAAGAGCAGGCTAGGCATTTGCACCCGTGCCCTACAGTACATACATGTAGGCCTAGGACGAGATTTACTAGGCCTAGGGGCCTAGTCCCATGCTTATGCCTAGTCTGATGAAATAATACAATATTTTCTGTCATTTAATATCCTCCTTTCAAATTACCATATTGAATATATTAATAGTACTGTATTGTTGTTTGACCTTGAATGGTGGTATTTATTTTGATGACAAACACAGGATGCAAGGAATCAAAATTTAAATGCATTTTGTTGTTTAGCTTTGTTATCAAAGATGACACTTGTAATACTTACTATCTCTTTTTTATCACTAACGATTAAAGTAAAATGCTAAGCAGCATTTACTTTAATTTAAATACATTTCTGTTTTGCTGCATATATTTTTTTTAAATTAATAATTACCATATTAGAATAAATGCCCTGGTGCATTTATGGTTGAGAAGGGTTTTGAGTGAGGCGTTTATTTCCAAATGAAGCTCTGGAGAGAGTGGTGTTTAATCAAAGTGGCGTGTTTATTTGAATACATACGGTAATATATCAGTACTTTAGAACATTACCTTTATAGCTTTAAAATGTACCCATTAAAGAATAACATTCTCAACTTAAGCTAATAGAGATCAGTTGTGTTTAATGTCCCAAATGTTAATTAATATTTGCAGGTATTAATTTTCTAAGTTGTTATGATTAATTATGGATTAGTTTCTGAGTATACCAGTAATAGTAAAATGCTATTAAGGGAACTTCGATTAACCTTCAGCTTTGTCTATTTTTCAATCTACTTTGCAGGGGAGTCTAGTGGGGATTAGGGGAGTTGGGAAATTTTCCCTGTGGGATAGGCCTGAACCCCATCATCAAAAATATTAATTTGCCTATCCAAATAATGTTAATGATTGCCCCGCTCTATTAGTGATCTATTATTATTAGTGACTTGTCGGACCCCTGTCAGCTACTGTTGTGGACACAAGCTTATGTTATCGTTTTACTAGGTAGTGCAGACACAAATTGACTCTTACCTTACAGCAGGGGAGAAAACTAGAGACTGTATTAAGCGCTTTAACTGTATAAACCTAGTTTTATTCACACATTACAAATTAATTAAAATTTTAATTTGAATATGGCACTACTGGTTATACATGACAGTACTGCATATTAAAAAGAGAATTTTACTGTATGTTCCATTTGTTGTCGTTGCTATTGCTGCCGTTGTTGTCATCTTTGTCATCGTTGTTAGTGTTAATATTAGCATATAGCATGATAATAATTTTAAAAATAATAAATTATATTTAATAGTAGTTCAAAGTAATAATAATTTATATTGATAATGATAATTAGAAATTATGAAATTCATAGCATAATGATGGTTTATCTGACAGTTTAAATATCATAGAATGAAATTTTAAAATAGTGCAGAAACTTGTAGACTTTCAATTGTTTACAGTAGTGAAAGTGTTCGCATGCAATGTTAAATAACTGGTAACCAATTTCTAATGTTACAATTAGTCTTGTGATTAAAACCCAGCATACAGTAGCAGTATTAACAAATTGCACAAGTCATCGCTTGACATATGACGTCTAGTTTTGTGATGAAATAAGTCGCTGTGGCTGTAGAAACACTTGAAAATGTCTATCAAATGATACAAATAAACATTTGCTATTTTGCTGGCACTTCTTAGGAAATATGATGGATTTGCATGTTTCATAGAATATTTAAATAGAATATTAAATAGTGATCTATGCAGATCAAATTTTTTTCTAGTTACAAAAATGGTCTGAAAAACCTGGTGGCCTCCTCCCTTATTTCATTAACATAAAGTAGGACAAGAAACTAATTTAATCTATTTGGCAGCCAATTTCTAAATGTTACAGTAGTCTTGTGATTAAATAGTCTCATTTTTAAAAGATTAGATATTAAATTACTAACTGTAGGTTATTTTTTTATCACCCGAGTCAGTAGTCAGTCCATGATTAGAAGTATATAAGAGCCTTCCAATATCTCCCAGCAAATCCAATTTGTAGTTTGAACTGCACATGCTCGTATGAAGGTCAGTCGACAGAAGCAAATATATAATCAACATAGGTTTATGTCAATTGACCTTTATTGACCTTGGATATGGGCACGCATACTACAATAGGCTTATTAATTTTGAATAAAATGTGACAGGAGTATACTGTAGATAACCTTACTCTGTTTTAAGAGCAGGATGAAAATAATTTATCATCCATCCAGTTAAACTGCCATTTCCATTGGATTAAATTTACACTGTACTATAGTAAAATATGTGTACAATATAGTAAGCTTCAATATTATTACACATAGATTTATTAAAGCATGATACAATTGACAAATGTGTACCTACACCTGAATGTGTTATGAAATATTATTAGCCAGGTAACAGCAGGTACACAGTGAAGTACAAAAGCTTTGGACTGCTGCCAACTACAGTATATGTCATTGATCATAGTATCAATTTTTATTATTACCCTACAGGTATCTTATTAAAATAATTGCTTTTGTTTGTTCATCTGACATTGACAACAAATGCCGTAGCCAAGATTTTCAAACAGTGCGAAACAATGTCAGAGTGGACCCACTTTACGCGTAAATTTAAAAAATGTGGACCATCATTGTCTTAAACCATTTTACCCAAAAATATAAGTCTTTACTGATTTTCTTAAAACTTCAACAAATTTATTCTAAATATAAGAAATCAGGCTCATTTTTCAAAAAGTGACCCATTTTATGTATGAAATTTCATAATTTGGACCCATTTTTTCTAAATGCGGACCCATTAGAAAAATTGTGTTGGACTGTTGCAACTGTGCCAATAGCTGGCAATGGCAGTGATTGACAACGGAATCTTACAGTTAGCAAGTCAATCACTGTAATTCTTACTGCATGTTTATATAACCAAGCTTTCATTGTTCTCCTATAAATATATGTGTAACATTTGAATTAACTTAACAGTCACAATGTACCTTTATGACTGTAGAATATGCCAATACTGGTACTTACTGTAAACAGAATGGTAGTAATTTTAAGTTGTTGATAAATATTTTCCTCTTGCTCTTCAACCCAAATGAGATTGTCACGACTTCTGTCAGGTTTCGTTAATGAATACATTTTTCATGAGAAATTAGATATTGATTTGATTCTACTAAGTAAATTATTTACTGTATTTAAATCTAATTTAGTATTGTTACAGAATGTGTGACTGCAATATAGGCCTACAGTACTGTACTGTTTTTTTGACTCGGTACTACTGTATAAGTTGTGAACTTGTGATACAGTAGCCTATATCACTGTTGGATTGGAAAATAAAACAATACTCCACATCAATATTTGAGTATTTGGTTTTGCCTATTGTAAAGTACTGTAAGCCTCATTTCTTTTTATTATAACAATTATCAAAGTACACCTTGTTGTATATCTACGATGACAGGTTCGCTAGTCATGTGATGTTTATTCTTCACCTCCGACAATTCACAAAACCTGGCAAAGCTATTAATTGCCATCGAGAGCCACTGAAAACACATGATTTTTATTTTAACCAAAAATACAGGTTTCATCTTACTAATCTTGCCACAAAGCATTGTTCTGTGGTGGATACAAGCGCAGTAATGTTAATTACTTTTTTGTCCCTGTCGGCCCAGTGGTTTTCAGTTTTCACAGTAATTACTTTTGTTTTCACTTCAGTACATGTACAGTGATACCTGTCTGGCTTGGCTTCTTGAAAAAATTCCAGCCAAGCCTACCTGTATGGCACAGTATCATTTTCAATTCCAACAGGTTTGCCAATTGCGTTTTTGAACAACTGACATCCCTTCCTTTCCCTTCAGTTGTCACTGATTGCCATTTTACAATTTCTCAGTTTGTTTATTGTAAGATGTTGCCAATTTTTTTGACGACTGACATCCCTTCCTTTCCCTTCAGTTGTCACTGATTGCCATTTTACAATTTCTCAGTTTGTTTATTTGTAAGATGTTGCCAATTTTTTTGACGACTGACATCCCTTCCTTTCCCTTCAGTTGTCTCTGATTGCCATTTTACAATTTCTCAGTTTGTTTATTTGTAAAATGTAGGGTTTGTCATTGCGTGAAATTCTCCAACCAAACAAGCTTGAACGTTTCATTAAGACAATTAATTAAAATGTTTGAAAGAGCAAGACTATACTATACTATAGAGAGTATGGATGATGTATACAAGCTTTGAAATTCCTCCTATTAAGTTTTGTTTATTGACTATAAAACATTTAACACCATAAAACACTGCTTTCATTCCTGATGATGACATAATTAATGTCGAAATATTGAATCCCAACACGATGGCGTGTATTTCAATACTTGGAGTATGTATTATACTTTCTTATCTGAGATTAATCAGTGGACCTTTCGGTTTTCACTGCTTTCAACTTAATGTAAACTGCAGGAGTCATTTAATGCCTGTTGTTGTTTTTGTATAGGCCTACATATGGTGAGCTTTCTATTCAATTTAGCTTGACAATTTTGCCACCCTAGTTGATGCTAATCAGGGGCGGATACAGGATTTAGCAAAAGGGAGGGGGGCGCGCCAAAGTAAAGATGGACAACCAGCCGAGGTACGAAGCACCGAGGGGGGTGGGGGTCCCCTCACAAAATAGGAAGATTTTTTGAAATGGTACGCCCTTAAAAGCTCTTATAGGGCATCTTACAAGAAAGAAAAGCATCTATATTTAGAAGCGATATGCCTACTTTTACTTTAAATACTTAAACTTTCTTTGTAGCTATCCATTGCGCGATGTGACATAGAATCAGCCTTTCTATGGAATTGACTATCCATTCAATTATCTCAACAAAAAAACACAAAAAAAATTAGCGCCCCCCCCCCCCTAAATCCACCCCTGCTAATGTAACATAAGGAAAAACAGAGACATCAACTGACGGACCAAGTAATACTGGTGCCAAAAGCAGTTGTTGGAATAGCGCTGTTTATCCAATATTGTATTGTATTATTAGGGTGCGACTCTTACCAACGCATATATTTGTCAAACTTTGCCATTGTTTTTACATTTCTTTTATCAACTGGTGACAGGTTGTTTATTGAAGCTGAAAGTTGGTCGTATTGAGAGCATTGTTTGAGGTGAAAGTTCAGATTGTGAACCTAAACATATAATGTATTTACAAAGATATTGTGGCTGTTTACTTACTCTGTTTATGAAAAATGATGAACTATTGAAAATGAAATTATGAAATAAGTACTGGTAATTATATCCTGCCAATGACAGAAGCTTTCAATAGGTTGAAGTTCATCCATTGTCTTACAATACAATGGAGAACATACCCTGATAGAAAAAAAATGTAAATCTTTTAAGTGGATTTTTGGATACGAAAACAAAAGGCGTGGAAACAAATTGTACTGTACATTAAGTATTAATTTGATCACTGGAAATTATTATAGAGATGGTATTAGCAAAGAGTATAAATAGAACAAGAGAGCCAACAATGCTCATTGAGAGCGTAAAAAAACGATACGCCCTACGCAGCTAGTGTAGGACGCCAACTAACTAAATGTTTTTTATTACCCAGTACTCCACCGCGCACGGTCGGTTTGTCTGTTTATCTGTTCTCCACAAGATACTGTACTTTTGTTTTCTGCTTACTGAGTTTATAGCTTCTACCGCGCTGTGCAGCGCTGCACTGGATAATAAAAAGAACATACAACCGTTAGTGGGCGTCCTACACAGGCGTGACGTTTTTACGTCGGGACTTTGCTCTCTTGTTCTATACTCTTTGGTATTAGTAATTGCTGCCTCTAGCTGGCAGACAAAGGTACAAATTTCACCTCAACAGACAGGACTAGATCCCCTGTCGTCCGACACAAATGCCACAACTACGTCGTCAGACCAAAAATATTTGCTTATTAAATCCAAATAATGTTATTTTGATTGCCAATCCCTAATATAGTTGTCTACAGTAACTACCCTACATAGGATTTTTTTATGCTCGGACCCTGGCTGAGCTCTTGTCGGCCTTTTGGTTTGGAACCCTCATATCAGGACTGCAGCACATTTCTGGGGTTATCATTTCTATTACTTGGTTTTAAGAGGTTAAAAAATAAGCAGTTTAAGATAAATTTTGGAAATATTGTTTCGTTTCAGATGTCGAGAACTTGTCGGTTCCCAGACCACGTAAAATGCTCGTGTTTGTGAATCCATACAGTGGGACGCGCAGAGCTGAACCAATTTTCCACAAGAAGGTGGCTCCGCTTTTCGATGAAGCTGATATAAAATATGAACTTGTTATAACAGGTGAGACATTAGGAAATACAGTATTTATCTTGTTTATATTTTATTACATTATATTCAAGATTGTTATACAAAAATGATTAAAAACATTAAAGAACCTTAATACATGCTTATATACAGTATGTACACATGGTGTACCACAAGCATTAATACATATAAATATAATCAAGGTGATCTTTGTGTAAGTAAGTCAACAAGGGTTATTTATATAACTATATATAAACAACTTTTATTTAAAAACTGTAGTTCAACTGAATACAATTTATTGTACAGTATACCTGTGTGTACAGTATACAGTTAACAATCGAAAACGAAAACAGAGTTTATATCACATAACTTCTTTTTTTTTTTAGATATCTCTTAAAACTTTTAAATATTTGGAATCAGTAATTTATATTTTCTAGAATCCTTTCAAATTGAAGAGAATAATTTGAAAAAAAAAAAAACAAATAGAAATAGAACAAGCAAAAAGTATGGCACTGAACAAAACTTGAAAATAGTTCAGGTCAGTTTTTAATTCATATGTACACTTGAAGGTTAATCTTTTGCATCCAAAGGTAATTGAAAAGATTATTGAAAACTTTGCTTGACTATTAAAGTGAGTTATGCTTGACCCAGATACCTCACTAGATGAGATTATTCGCCTACTGACATGTTGAGCTGATAGACTTGGATAAACTTAGATAATTCAATATTTCAGTTGCTAATAGTTCAGTGTACAGTGTTGATACTATAACTTACTACAGCTTCTCATTAATTATTATTACTGTATTGCCAATTATCAGACTTATTAGTTCCTATGAGACTCCTTAATTGGCTGGTTATTATTTTTAAAGTTGGCTGGGGCTAAATGGGAGAAAATTTAGTTTATTTAACCTGTAAATGCCCAAAAATGGCACACTCAGGACGGTTGTTCTTGGATTAGAAAATGTTATTACCACGACTACCAACAGCTGGGTCAGGTGCCCCCATGGCTTGGTCCGGACCTAACTGGTCCACTGGCTGGCACCGCCCCTGTTTTCAAGACTGATTTTTAATGACATCTGTAATGAGCAGTGTAAATAGGTTTTGCATTGTTTTACAGAACGTCAGTTCCATGCAAAAAAGATGGTTGAAGAGTTAGAAGATTTAAATTCCTACAATGGCATCGTAATCATATCAGGTGATGGCCTAGTCTATGAGGTAAGCTATCCCATTGCCATTTATGGCACGCAAAGTTACCATACCATATTTGATTGTTTCTTAACTCTTTTTTGGTTTTATTATTTGTATTGACGTATGCACCACAAATAACTGGAATAAAACAGAGCTCTTCTATATACATTTTCTTAAATAGCGAAGCAAACAAACTACGGTATATGCTGTAATTGCAACACTCGACTTGTCCTTGTGTGTAATATATTTTATTTGGGGTAGTTGTAGAAGCAGATGTTATTGTTCCACCATTACCCATAAAAATAAACATTTTATCCTGCTGTCATGCAGGTTCTAAATGCCAATGAAAAACAATACGAGAGTAATGTTGCTTTAGTTTTAATTCAATTTTATTCAGTGCTACAAATGCCATCAAGCACCGATATCCGCAAAAATTACAATGCATAATGCATGAGTCCCACACATGAGCATCCACTTTTTACGTTTCACGTCTACGTTGTTGTATCTTGTGCATCATAAACATTTTTAAAAAAAGTTATAGTCTAATTATACCCTAAAATTCAGAAAAATGTGAATTTGCATTAAAATATGTGAATACAGGCCATTTCAATTTAACGAAGCTTTACCGACTGACAAATATAATCAGTTAGCAATTGGTCACTACATTTTTTTTAAATAACAGAGGATGGTCTATTTCCTGATTTTTACATAGAGGGCGCTACTGTATATACAAATTTCATTTTTTTTTTTTCTGTCCCGCGCATCGGACGCCAGCAAAATTGGCAGGTATAATATGCATGACAATTAAACGGAAATGAAGTAAAATGAAATGGAAATCTCTTATATTTTCTTTCCAGTTGACAACTCCTTCACATATGTTGTGTAATACCATATCCTTAGTAAAATACACAATTACATATTACAAAATCACATGCGTATTAAAAACAATGGATTGTCATTTGCATTTTGGCATTCTGTCACCTGGCCCATTGCCACATACCCTATTTCCAGCTGGAACCCTGCCACAGTGGCAGTAAGCCAGATCCAACTCATCATAGTGGCCTTGTACTTTACTTGGAACCAAAAATATAGCACTGTACATTCTGGTATTTCCTGGTAGTTATGTTTTTAACGTAATGTAAATATTGGCTGGCTTCATGCCAAAGAAAAAGCCTGAATGACAGTACAATGCAATTTAATTGATTCTGCTTTCCCACAACATAATGCATACAACTTGTATACAGTATTTTTATTTGTACCGGTGGAGATAAAGGACCAAAATTAAAACTTTACATTACATATAATCATCATGACCCTTTGACCTAGGTTAAATGTCATGTCATTAATACTGTATGGCCACCATGGATAACAATTGGTTTTCTCAATTAAACCTACTTACTAACCAATTATGTAAAATTCTAGAATACAGTAATATGAATTATAGATATTGTTTGAGATTGTTATTGTTAATTGTCTAAGATAAAAAAAATATATTCAATCAAACTGTGTAATTGAATATATTATATACTGAAATAATGGACACCATATTGACTTAACTTATATTGGGTCTGAGTTAGGCATGGCTCATTTGTCAAGAGAAGGACAGTCCACCTGTAGGAGAAGCCCCGATGACACTGATGTGAGCAAACTTCAATTATGTAGTTTAATCATGCAAAACATTTCATATGTTTGTGTCGTCTTGATATTTTATATTAATACGGTATATTATTTATTATTTGATCTTGTATTTTCTACATGCATCAATCACTATTACCTGATCACCTGCCACAAATGAAACTAACATGTCACTATTAGCAAAACCTTGGTACTTTATGGTGTACAATATGACCTCTTCATGGTCATGTGCCCTATTGATATCTAAATGCTGGTACATTTTCGATTGTACACATTATTGATCGTTTCTGAGTTAATTAGTTTTCATAAATGATGTTTTTTATGTGGTGTCAATCATCAGTGTACTGTAAATTTGCACAATACCTCATTGTAAGCTGTATGCTTTCCTTGGATGATAATTTGTTTATGTTGATGATAGACGTACTGTATGCTTTCCCTTAAAGCTATGTCATCTACATGTTGTTCATGTGATTTATGCCTTTCATGAAGAGTAGCCAGTTTATACTAAATTCATAATGCCAATGCAATAATCAAATTTTTTTAAATAAATTGATCAGACTAGATACTGTCCTGTGAAACAAAACAATCAGGGAGTGAAGCTGTATAATATAATAATTTGTTTTAAATTTTGATCCAATGACCTCCTCGTTGCGTCAAACGACAGAGGGTCCAGGCCTGTCTGACGGGGTGGGAGGAAAATGATCATGAAATCTGATGATTTAAGATTTTCTTGTAACTTCTAGGATCCAATGTTTTATCAGGCAACAAACTTGGATATATTTTTATGACAATTTAAAAACAACTTATATAACGCCGCCGTAGCCAGGATTTTCAAACAGTGCGAGACAATGTCGGGGTGGACCCACTTTAGGCGTAAATTAAAATAATGTGGACCCATTTCCTTAAATGTTAACCCATTTTACACAGAAATATAAAAAATCTAGACCCATTTTCCTAGATTTTTAACCCATTTTATGCTAAATATGAGAAATCTGGACCTACTTTTTAAAAATTGGACTCATTTTATGCATAAAATTGCATAATTTGGATCCATTTTGGAAAATGTGGACCTATCATTTGTGAACCCATTAGAAAAATTGTGTGGGACTGTCCCAATAGCTGGCTACAGCATTGATTGATTATTCGAAGAAAAGCTTAAAAAGTAGACGGATATTTTATTTCACCTTGTGTCACTGGTCGTGGTTGACTGCACATTCATCTGTGAAAACAAGTCGAACAATGGTGACACCCTTGAGTTAAGCTGAACAAAAAACTGGGGCTCCTTGATAACGCCACAACACTCAAAACAGCTTTCAGTGCAAAAGATCACAGCAATCCCGAAGTCAAAGTTTCTCTATTGTCCTATCTAATCCAGCAGGATTCTATCACTAACAAAAGCAGAATTTGGCAGTCTGCTCGTCCCTTTATGTCCAATGTTTGTCCATGTATTCTGTAGCCACTTGCTCCAATTTCATCTGTCCAGGTTTTGATTTAATAAAGCTTGTTTACAAGGTTGTATTCACTGTCAATGACTTTGTAATACTGTACTGTATTTAACTCTGGAATTTAAAATGGAACTCTGTTATTGTAAATATTCTGTATACTACATAAATCCGGGAATAAAAAAAAGAAGGGCATGACGACCCTTTTCATTAAAATTAGACACAATCGACTACATTTGAAGTTCATAACTTATTTAAGGCTTTTATTTTAAAGCATTTAATAAGCATTTTTTGAGAGTTTTCTCTGATTATGCTATTAGTAGGCATACAGTATAAGATATTACATAAGAAAAACACATACCTGACACATACAGTATGTATTTAAAATGTGTGGTACCGAACCCATTCATGTTTGAAGAATGAAACCAACCCTGGAATGGTAGGCTTATCACTTGTAGTAACATAAGCACTCCCTACAGCTTACAGTACAAATGCAACGAAACACAGTATATTATGTTCTATCGCAAATATTTTAGATTTAATCGTTAGTTTATACTCTAAAATTGCAGGTTTTAAATGGTCTGATGGCTCGTAAGGACCGTCACGAGGCTTTGAAGATTCCAATTGGTGTTGTACCGGGCGGCTCGGGCAACGCTCTAGCAGCATGTGTACTTTCAGCAGAACAGTAAGTAGAAACGAAATAGCGGGCACTCGATGTGTACTAGAGACGTAGAATGTAATGACGTCACTAAGAAATCCTACCAGCGCATGCGAGAACGTTAAGTTCTTGTAGCCTGGATTTTAGGACACGGTTTGACTTGACTCTACATTGTGTAGACAACGTAGGAAGACCACAGATGAGTGAATCCATTACATCATCACACAAATTTAAAGCTTCAAACTGTACCTTGATAATAACAGATAAATTGCCATCCCAAAACCAGCTTACTACTGTATTGACAATAATAAGTCGATTCCAGTAAGTGACCCGTCATTTTAAAGCTTTATAATGTGGAGAATAAGAATTAAAATGACAATTTTTTCGTTTTATTGGTCACTGATGCCATTTTTGGGATGGCAAGCCTAAAATACTACCTTTCATACCGGTATTATTCTTTGCATAGTTCGATAGACACTAATATTTAAAATTGGCTGGTAATCAATTAGAGGTTTTTCTCACTTAAAGACTGAGTTGATTTAATGAGTCTCATTGGAAGTTTGGTAATCATACATTCGTTAATAGATGAGCCATTCATTGTTTTAATTAAAATGGTATGATTTAACATCTGTTAATAATAGCAGTGTTATACATTTTTATTGTACAATGAAGTTAAAAGAACATCTGTGATTTTTAAAATTTGGAACAAAAATTTAGTATAGTTTAGTTAGTATAACTTTTATTTGAATTTTGGACTCTTATTATTTAAACAATAACATGGACTTTGAATGGTAACTTTTATTTATTATTCTAATAATAGTGGTAATAATTTTATTACAATAATTTTATTTTTTATTTTTTGCCATTCAGGGATTCTTACCGCAAGAACGCTGTTTTACATTCGGCCTTCACTATTGCGAAAGGTGGTAAACAACCGATGGATTTAGTAAAAGTACAAACGCCCTCAGTTAGTATGTATTCATTCCTCTGCATATCATGGGCTATGATCTCGGACATAGACATCGAAAGCGAACGCTTTCGCTCCTTTGGTGCAGTACGATTCTTGCTTGGTGCTATAGTGCGGACCATTTGCTTACGACGGTACCAGGGACGTTTGTCTTACCTCCCGGTTGAGGATACCTCCCGTTATGAGGAGCACTTTAGCAAGCCGCTACAACAAGTCGAAAAGGATCTCAGTAGGCAGACGAATCTCGGGCGTACTTGCAGTAAGAGTTTACCGGTGCTTGATTCCGAACCCCGACTAATAAATATCAGGCCAATAGGTACTTCACCTTCATTTCCATCTTCATTCCCGAACCAGTGCTCAAACTCCAACACGCTCCACAACTTCGTTGAAGAACATGATGTAAATGATGTAGAAATGAGCAATGTTAGTGATAGTACAAATTCAGTCAAACATCAGCCAAACATCAAAGACACCACTGACAATTCCTCAACAAACAATTCTAATAAAACACTGCTAAGCCCACTAGACCAACCAGTGCCGTCAAATTGGGTCACCATCGAGGGCGAGTTTATAGGATTTTGTGCTGTCTATACCTCTCACATTAGCCAGGATGCTTATATGTGGCCTGGTCGTAAATCGGACGAGGGCGTCATTTCGATACAGTATGTAATGTCACCACTTTCAAGAGCTTCAATTGCTTCCCTGCTTCTTGCATTTGAAGATGCATCACACACACAGTCAGATAACTTACGGACTGTGTTTGCGCAAGCATTCCGCCTGGAATCGTTGGAGCCAGATCGGGGAATTTTGACTATTGACGGCGAGGCTTTAGAGAAGGGAACAAGTTGCATTCAAGCTGAAGTTATCCAGAGAAAGTTTCAGATAATTCGGCCTGGAAATGGGACAAGCACATCTTGACCAATGAAGGTTTACATTCTCCAAACAAAATCTTGATTGTTTTTACTGGTACTTCGCACAAACCTGGGAGTTGGAAAAATTTAAGCACTGGAGTGGGGGGAGTGCTAATCCCTTACCCCTATATGTTCCTCAGAATTTTTGAATATAAGCTTTATCCAAGCTTGTAAAATTTTACATGCTCAGAAATCTGGGAATAGATCTAAATCCTGTGAGTTTAATACAGTATGCTTTCAGAAGTGGCACTAGCTGGTGGTGGGGGAACTGGAGACCAGGGTTCACCCATTGGGTGCCCCCACCCCTGTATGTTCCTCACAAAATTTTGAATATGGTAAGCTTGTATAATCCTGCTCACAAAACTGGGAATAGATTTAAACCCTGTGAGTTTTATATGCTCCTCCACAAATATAAGAATAAAAAAACTTATTAAGAATTTCCTACTCGTACAATTCTCTTAAAACTGAAAGCACATAAATGGGGCATTGCACCGAATTACACACCCTAACAATGATAAAAATTATATAATAAACTTTACTTTATGAATATGGTACTTTACAAAAAAATTATAATTTATAATATTTCTTTGGTTTTATTTTACTTATGGTTAGTATGTATACATGTTTTACTGCCTAGAAAAACGTTGCCCAAATTCTTAGTCTGCTGTGTATGATAATTATTATAAGATTACCTTTAAACAATGCAAACCAACAATGCAAAGTATATGTACAATTAAACTTACACTTTCAAAACGCAAACAGGAGTGTTGTGATGCACTTTGACGAAAGTGGGGAAAAAGCAATTTGATCAAAGTTTTTCTTTATATATATTAATAATTGTAAATATTAAATTAGTGCTTTGAAGATTAGGAACTAATAATTTCGAGAAAATATGATTTTGGTTGTGTAAATTTTTGAAGCTAGAAAAAAAATGGTGTATAATTTTGTGTATTAATATTTTGCAAGTAATTGTAGTTGTTTCTATATTACACAGAAATTTTGGTAATACATATAATTTATATAATTTAACATTCACAGTTTATTGTTTATATTTTGTTAAGAGTTACACATTTCAGTCTCCACTACTTTTCTTCATTACACATTTGCACTGCATATCTAGATATTCACATACAATATAATGTATTGTATATGTATATTGTGTTTATATTGCTACTTACATATGGTTTATACAATTGCTATATTTGCTCACATGCACGTTCAGTATATCGTTGTTCACATGCAGTATGTCTCGTACATTCAGTGGTGGCGCTAGCAGAGGACGCCACAACGAGGTTGTCACGCAAAAAATATTTATTATTATTATTATTATTATTATTAATTTGCCTGTCCAAAATATTATTTTGATTGTCAACCCCCTAATACAGTGGTCTAAAATCACAATTTTGGTGCATACTAAGCCATAAAGATTCTCCCCATGAACCCTACAAAAGGATTTTTATTCTGGGACCCTGATCGAGGCTGTACTCGGCCCCTTGTTTTGGACCCCTCGTCAGCAAGTTCCAGGAGTCACCACTATGTGCATTGCTCACATTAGCGTACAAGAGTGCAGTGTAAAAGCAGTATATTTATTTTTCTCAATATGTATCATGTGCAATGTAGGCCAACATATACATGTTTTGCTTTACTACAGTATAATTGCTTGCTTATATATACAGTGCATACACTCTTGGGAAAAGAGTTGTGTAGGGGGTTTGTCTCCTGGTGTACAGCTGCACAATTCACCACCAAGATCTTCCGACTTTTTGTGGGTTATCCTTACTGTGATTTCACACCAAGAATATTCCTATCTTACATACTGCACTGAAAGAGTAAGTCACCTAGTCATTACGTATAACAACCAAATACATAAGTATTTCTTTGTGAGCGAATTAAAAATAATAATAATAATAGTAATCTCCTGTGGGGGGCACTTTTTTATACATTCCAATGACGGCCTTATTATTAATTTTTTTTTTTCTATTTTTGGGATGTGATAGCCGTACTTTCAACCAATCAGTAGGTGCTTAAGTTAGAGTTACCATAGTGCTAAGATGACGCGTAGTTGCATGGGTGCGTATTGGTACACAACCGACTGCTACCATGGTCATGCAAGAGTGCACACATCACGCAAGAATTGCCTGTGCTGTCATTCGTTATCTGTGTTATTTCATTTACATTATTTTATTATTGCAATCAATGTTAATTTTGGTTGTTATTATTACATACCATTATAATCATTCTAGTAGATCTTATTTTTTCTGATGTTGGGCCTATTATTGTTTAAAATGATTATTTTAGTTTCATGGTTTGTAAAGTTTTGATTGATGTAAGCCTATAGTTATTAATTGCTTGATCTTGCCAGTCAAAATTGCAACTGATGTACAGTACTTCGTTACACAGCACATGAATAATATGCATGTGGTGATGCATTTATATTAACGATTTCAACAGAGCTTTCTATGCAACAACATTCTATGATGGTTTTAGATTGTGGAAGCTGTATACCGCTTTCTGTGTGGTTGTAATTATCCTTCTGTTTGGGTTGTATAATAATAATAATAATAATAATAATAATAATAATAATGATATTTTAATGGCATTTTGACTTTGCATTGGTGATAACACACCGTCTGTAGTACAGTCCCACTTAATAGATACAATTGACAACTTAAAACAACTTGTACTCAAAATATTTAGCACTGCAGTTGTAACTAGGACAGCTTAAAATGTTTATTTTTAAGTTGGTAAATTCTATTCATAGAGGATCATAAAACTTAGTAGTATTCTAAATCCTGCTATTGTAGGTACTGTATGAATTATTGGGGTATGAATTGTAGATAGGTTAGGTGTATAGTATATGAACAACAAAGTCCCGGATATAACAATGATTAATCTTCTAAAAGATTCCATGAAGCCACTTCAATGAGTGGACTTGTGTGTTTCACCAATCTGGAGGTCGGTAGACTAGATTTAAAACTCCACCGCACACACTATTTTTTCTGCCAAGTTTAGTATAGCATGCATTTTTTTCTTTCTCTGTTTTAATTCTGTAGCTCAGTTGCATTTGAAAAGCTACCTGGAATTTAGGTCTAGGGAGGGGGTTTGAGGAGCAATTGTGTGATATTTACCAGTGGAAATAGTTCCGCACATAAAACAAATGTTTCTGTTCATTTAGAAGGCTGACTGTGAGTGCAATTTATTTTGGCATTCAAGTTAACTGAAATGAGTGGAATATCGTTGAAGGGAAAGGGAGAGGATGAACCTAGGGAAACATCTCTCTGGTTACCTTGAATTTTAATTTTAGTGTCACAGATCTATACAGTTGGCTGGGGCGGATCCAGAATTTTTCAAACAACAATACAGCACAAAAATAGTGTGTAGCATTTTATTTCAATACATAACATTGATATGCATTGAAATTTTAAAGTTTAGTGGCAAAACGGGGTGGGGGCACATTCCCCTGTTCCCACTACTCTATCCATGCCTGGTTGGACTGTGATAGGCTTAAGGGGGCCTCTAATAATACCACACATGTTTATCAATTTCTCCTTTGAGTGTGGAAAATATAGCACTTAGTTGCTTCATGGAATGACAAGAATTTTTTTTTCCTTGAGACTTGAAATATGATGTGTTGATACTAGCCAAAAGAGCAGTTTTGCCTCACTTTTAAATGTCAAAATCAGTCAGCGATTCCATAACCATAACAAAAATTATTTGATTCCTTTCTTTTATGTCTAGACATACTTTAGATGAGTGCAGAATTACATGGGTGCTTAGCCACATAAAAGAAATATAAGGGAGGCTATCGAAAAAATAGTTCAGTACGAATAAGAAACATTGATTTTTTAAATTTCTTTCCTTTCTTCTCTGTTAACTTGTTTCAAGCTATGATCACTGTAACTTTAACCATAGGTAGTGCCTTCTGTTTACATAGCAAATCACTAAGGTGCTATAACGGTATCTTACTATACTAAACCTCAAGCAGCTTCTCTCTGCTTAATTTGATATTTTTATTTATTTATTTACTTTTTTTTTTTTTTAATGTATTTTATGTTGTTGGTGTTGTGTTTTGTCCTGTTTCCTTTTTCTGTCCTTTTTCGCTATTTTTTTTTTAAATTTAGGCTGGCCCAACACAAGATTTGCTTCAAATCTTTTTGGGCATTTGCCTTCTCCCCTTTCTGAATCTTTATTTTTTAGTATATGAAAAAAAACTTGATTAAACCTTTTATTATAATTTTCCATAAATAATATTAAGATTGCATAAGGAAGTAAATAAATTTTTCTTTTGAATTGAATAAAGGAAATTGTGGATATGTAAATGGTTCCAAGAAAAAGTAACCTTCTCAACCTTGCAATTTCCGTATCCTATTTTTGTACAGTGTTCAACTATGAAGCCACACCCCTTGGATATTGTTGCTAAGGTCCAATAAATAGCCATTGTATAATCTTATAACTTGCAATATATAACCAAGAGTACTCTTTCTGTAATGTTTTATTTGTACTGTAACTTCACTACATAACAATGGAAATGTATTTGGAGAAACTTTTTTCTTTGGAATTGTGTAACTTTAATTTGATTTAACACCATAGATGTTATAATTGGATTCCAGCTGATGTTGTTATTTAATCTGCAATATATTAGATTATTTTTGTATGGTTGATTGATAAACAGATTATTTATTTACCAATAATAATTGAAAGCTCTGTTCACGCTAAGTTTTGTGAGACAAATATGTGTTGGGGTCCCCATCAGGGGTGGTGCTATAAGGGGTCCAAGGGGATATGTACCCCCTCCCCCACCATCCCAGAGGGGAAAAAAAAACCCAATTCCTCGTGGAAGGAAAAGTTTATTTTTTACGTACTAGTAGACTCCAAAATCGATTAAATTAGCCTTCGCCCTCCTGGACCACTTCCTACAGATATTGCACGTCCCCGACCATACCCATATATGCTCTAATCAGAGATATTGTCATTTTGATTGTGGCCCCCCCCCCCCCCAAAAAAACTTGCTAGTATAATGGGTTTTTAAAATATATTTACAGTTACTTGAAAGTCAAAATGTTAATACATTAATGGTGGGTGTACAAAAAATATATGTACAGTACTCTATATGTGTGTTATAATTAACTGTGCCATGATCATTGTACAATTAGTTAAGATTGTTAATAATTAATCACCATGGCAAATACGATCTTGTTTTTTTTTTAGTGTAAACAGGTGTCAATAATAATATTACGATCATAGAAACCTAAATGTACTTGTGCATTGATTACAGAATAATGATTAACTCTAGAAATACTGTAATCTGTTAAATATTAATAGTGTTTATTTTCTGAAAGTGAAAGAGTATTAATAAAGTTGGTGAATGTGTGTAATAATTTTTGTCTATGAAAACATTTTTTTTGTGTTCTCATCAATTCCATTTCATTTCCATTTATTTATTACAGATAAGTAAAAGTAAAAGTTAACTACAGGACCGACAGAAGTGGATAGCACAAGAGTCTCCTGAGATGTGGTGTAGTTTGACATCCGATCTACTGGTAGGCCTATGTTCTCAGCAGTGGCGTGTCTAGGGCAGGGTGCGGGGTGCACTCCCCCTCCACCAAAAAACTTGCACCTTCCCACTGAAAATGTCCGAAGAGAATTAAAAATCAACTCACATCTCCTTATTTTGTGAGCTAGCACCCCTCAGT